ATTTAAAAACGAATTAATTTATATTTGGTTTAATAATATAATTTTTTATGAAGATAATAATTAATTATTTTGTTAGAACTCAATAATTATCCTAATTATATTTTATATTTCAAAATGAGATGTTTATCCTTTATTTGATTATGTTTATCTGCAGTTAATTACACACCGTGCAAACCACCCTCATCTGTCGATTTCATTGTTTAATCTTATGAAATTTTTTCATGAAATTGTTTCATATAATACTTTTTTTGATGAAGTCGTTTCATATATGGTTATGAAATTGTTTCATATAATACTTAATGAAATTTTAATGAAACTGTTTCATGTATTTCTCTAAAATTAAAAAAATAAAGATGATAATATCCATGATTAACTCCCTTCACAATAAAAATGATTAATCAACCTCTTATAATTACAAAAAAAGAACAAAATAAAAAATTATGATTGATTGAATGATATTTGTAAGGGGGTGTTTGGGATTGCTTATCAAAACGACTTATTAACTTATTTCAGTCTGGTATCGGAGATAAGCAGTTTTTTAGTGTTTGGGTACAAAAAACCGGTAATAAGCAGTTTTTGATAAGTTAATCCGTAGTGACTTATGAAAATCGACTTATTATCGATTTACCATTTTAACCCTGTCTAACACCTATCTCTAATAATCATTGATATCTCTTTCTATACATCATAACATATTCGTTCTCCATCTTTCATCTCCAACGATGGCTCTCCTCTTCTCCTTCCACCGTCCATCACTCCTCTTCGAGAACTCATCCACCGCCACCACCAGCACGGCCACTTCCTCTATCCTCCACCCCTCTGCCCCCATTTCTCTGTCTTTCTCACTTCGTCCCAGAAGGATCAAATCCACATCCATTCGGTTCTCCTCAAACAAACCCCCAGCCAACTCCGGRTGGAACCYTGTCGATCAAACCATCAACGACGACGAAGAATCAGATGGGTTGCAGTCGCCCAAGGTGACAGACGAATGGGGGGAGAAATCTGAAGGGGAAATTGAACCATTGACGAGATTGTCAACGTCTGATCCTCCGAAAGACGAAGACGAATGGGGAACAGGTGTGACGGAGCAATCAGATCAGTTTTCTGTTAGTGGAAATGAAGCTACGGCGGTTGAGGGTAATAGTAAAATTGAAGAGCTGAAGAGGTGTTTGGTGGACGGTGTATATGGGTCTGGTTAATAAGCAATCCCAAACACTCCTATAAGTCAATAATATAGAAGACTGTCCTTTTTGGTCATTTTACAGATATAAGTAAAATGTGCCAAACACTAAAAAACAACTTATCAGCTTGTTGCAGTTTGGTACCGCTATAAGCTAATCCAAACACTTTTTACGAAACTCCGATTTGATACCGCATAAGTTAATAAGCACTTTTACAAAAAAGCATAAGTTGTTTTAAATAAGTAATCCCAAACACCCCCTAAGGTTTGTACAAATAACGTGGTTTGCAAAGTAAACTTCCTCTCTTTTTTTTTCTCTCTCTCTCTCTCTCTCTATATATATATATATATATATATATATATATATATATGAGGTTGGTTCAAATAGAAACCAACCATATGGTGCAAACTAAGCTAACCAACCTTAAACAATCACATTCTTTCTTCACTTTAGGTTCAAATCTAAATTATAAATTAATGATAAGGGTAATTTTGTAATTTAACCTTTTTGTAACCCCCTAATAATTAATTGGGAGTTACAAATCTTAAAAGATACCT